ATTTCAGCAGCCTCTCTGATGGCTGCTTCTGCTTTCCGCTGCTCTTCAGCTGCTCTTTCGTTTTCCCTCTGAAGCATTGCAGCTGCCTGTCAAGGTGCTCCCATTCGAAAGAAGAGCAGGCTATCTCAAAGAACAACTTCTAGATCTTCTAGATCCTAAATGCATGGGAAGCCGTCTGCACCCACCATGCCAACAGGCCTCATGAAAATCACAGTCAACGCAAAGTGAAAAACTTACTGCACAGGTTCCCCTGACCTACTAGCTCCTGGCCTTTTCTACCAGGAACAAGAAGCTACTAGCAACAAAGAGCATCGCTAACTAGGAGCAAGGACGCTACTAGTAGCTCATCGTGAGCTTCAAATCTTGATAGATTGAACATGAATGCTTCAGCGTAAGCCCCTTGAAGCATTTTGTGGCCTTTGCAGCTTCAGCCGCCATCGCCGTCCTCTCATCTTCTGCCGCTTTGCGCAAGAGCTCTGCCTTTTTATCTTCAGCTTCTTGAGCAACTCTTCGATGGGCGGCACGCTCTTCGGCTTCTTGCTGCGCCAACTGCTTCCGAGTTGGCACTGTCAGCTCAGTCTTGTGGTTGGACTTCTCGCTTGTTCCTGTGAGCTTGTCGATTTATAGCTATATAAAACAAGAACATGTGCTTGTCTTATCTTCATATTTGTCGTCTTATGTGCTCCACTGCGAGGATCACTCCTTGATCCTCTCGGCTGCTTGCGCCTAAAAAAATGGCCAACAGCCTAAAGTACTCCAATGCGCAGACCGGACAAACAGAAAAAGATGCCTATCTCAATGTCCATCTCCATGTCTCGTTCTCCCTGTGGCTGCCCCAAAGCCTTGAGAGACGAACCACACCCCACTCGGGCGAGGTGAAGAAGTTGAACAGAACATACACAAGCTTCTTGTTACTACTAGTAAGGCACTTGTTACTAGTAGCGATGCACTTGTTCCTAGTAGCTTCTTGAACACAAGTTACACAAGGCTCAATGTTCAAGAGGATCCTTGCGGTCTGCTGTGTGGATACATGTGCATACGTGTGCAATATGCGGAAAGGCGTGTAGGGAGCTGAAGAAGCAGTTGGAATGGAGCGCACAAACGAGGCATGAATGTGAGAACATAAGTGAGGGGTCTATGAGATGCATCCAACCATCAAGCCCGCATTCAAAGCTTGCAATCAGCCCAAACACAACATTCACAACTGACCCTCATCGCGCTCAACAAATGTTGTGCCATTGATGATGAAATAAGAAGCTACTAGAAACAAGTGCATCGCTTCTAGGAACAAGTGCCTTACTAGTAGTAACAAGAAGCTAGTAGAAACAGGTGCCACACTACTAGGAACAAGTGCCTTACTAGTAGTAACAAGAAGCTATTAGTAACAGATGCCACGCTACTAGGAACAAGTGCCTTACTAGTAGTAACAAGAAGCTATTAGTAGCAGGTGCCACTCTACTAGGAACAAGTGCCTTACTAGTAGTAACAAGAAGCTATGAGTAACAGGTGCCACGCTACTAGGAACAAGTGCCTTACTAGTAGTAACAAGAAGCTATTAGTAACAGGTGCCACGCTACTAGGAACAAGTGCCTTACTAGTAGTAACAAGAAGCTAGTAGAAACAAGTGCATCGCTACTAGGAACAAGTGCCTTACCAGTAGTAACAAGAAGCTATTAGTAACAGGTGCCACGCTACTAGGAAC